GAGCTGTTTCAGCCTTCACAAGACAAGGGCATGAAATCATCCCACATCCATTTTTCCATCTCTAGAAGTACAGTACCATATTTTTTTATATAGTATGTACCTTTTCCCCTCCAAAAAAATCAAATGCTCAAAATCATGGTGCACATTATAAGCAAGGAAATATGGTAATTTCAGTTTCTGCAGCATATGTGGGGAGGGAGCAGGATGCAAAGGAATGAAAGCAACTTGGTACCTGCTCCACAGAGAGCAGCATAACAAGCATCCTGGGCTCCCCAGCTGCTGCTACTCAGTTATATACTGCTACTTACCAGCATTTTCAAGGAAAGAACTTTTTCTTCTTCATTCTGTCTTTCAGAAACAAGGTGCATATCTTATTTGGGGTGATGTACATGAGAAAATACAATATTTGCTATGTTTATATTGAGGTGACACTTAAAGATATTGTTGATGTCCATGTTACTGGATATGTACCATCCAGTTATATCCAGTTATAATATTGTGCCATTGACCCTTAGGTAGGCATTAGCTTTGGGCCTTTCAAAACTGGCATTTGCTGAGTGACATAGTTCTCCAGGCTATAACTGTCCAATGGAAATTGCATTGCAGAAGTGAAAAACTTAATTCCTTAGAAGTAAAAAACAAGTCCAAGGATCTATAGAACATGAAACTAGAATGGGGTAAAAAGGTGACCAGTTTTTGTGGCAGTGTACTATAGTGTGGGTCCTTAGCACTCAGACAATAGTCTGCACATTGCCAGGAGCAAAAAGGCTGAATTGACTCTAGCTATTTTGCAGCAGTTAACAGTTCTATTTTGTGGTGGGTTGAGAGTTTGTCACTGTTCTAAAACCCCCTAACTATAGTTTTTATTTTTATGTGCACTCTGTAAAAAAACTGTTTACTCCACACAGCAATAAGTGACATGGGTATGTTTTCACAATGACAACCAAATGCACCTCTAAGTGATTTTTGTGTCTATCTGTATGCCCATATGTGTGTACTCAAAAGGGGAGAGAAAATTCCACTTCTGACTATTAGGGTCAGATGGTTTCCTTCTGTGTTGGTATAGCTGCTTCTTTCATTAGGGTCTTCTTCTTCTAGTGTCCTGTCATTATGTTTTCATTTTATTAGGATAATAAAGTATGTTTAGGAGCATTGGTTCAATGAATGGATTTAGGATTGGAAGCTATTATCCTTAAAAATCAAAATGTTCCAATATTCCTGCTAATAATGATTTACCAATGTACCTCAAATCAAGTACAATAATGGATTATGATGGTTGCAAAAACAGAAAGTAATTTATGTGGGAAAAGTGCAAAATATATACATAGCTACATATGGCCATTATTGATACATGCTAGGTATACTCAATGGTACCAAATATGCCTTTAAAAAGCCAGTATAGGAGCAGTGCACATTCTGAGAGAATATAAAATCCATTCTTCAGTTTTGGATAAGTCAGGAGCATGACAGGATGTAAGGAGATCCTCAGCCAACCCTGCTTGACCTGAAGAATGAGTTACCACAAAGAACGGTACTTGAGATCTGGTAGCAGGAGAAAAACAGAAGAGAAATCCTAGACATCTGTCCTTCTTTCTCCAGCAAAATGCATTCAGCTCTCGACATAATCTGGAAAAAGAAATGGAAAATCTCAGGGAGGAAAGCCATATCAACACACAGATAGAACCATAAAGGTTCTCCAGTTCTGGGTCAGAGCTATTCTGTTTATCCTAATCACTGTAACAAAGAGCAGTGTGGATGCTATGGGTAAAAGCCTGGCCCCACTGAAGTCAACAGAAATTTTGTCCTTAGTGTCTTTCATTTTACCCTGTATATGTCCCTGAAGAGAAGTCACGTAATCCTCCAAACAGGAAAGGAGTTCTGCTGCCTATGGAAAAACTTTTAGATAGATTGAAGTCTCCTACAAAAGACTGTTAAATATATGACATCTTGAGAGAGAAAAGAATACAGGAGATAACATGGATTTCCCTGTGGGTTTAAGTTTGTTAGTCCAGTTACTGTTCAGTTAAATACCCACCTAAACAGCATGACTCATTATAGTCTATGTACTAATTCACAACAGATCTTCAATGAAAATAATGTAATTTACCTGCCTTCAGTTTTACACCATGGAAATAAAAATCTAGATGGGGGAGACCCTTGCCTCTATCCTATTGCTGTAGACCATCTAGAGGACTTTCCACTTTAGTTCTTTCATTGTCCACTTTGCACATTGTTCAGAGAAATTTGGTTGGTCCCTTTCTCTTTCAGAATGTTTCTTTTTTTCTCCTCTGGCACTGAGGTGGAGGGTTGGTTTGTTTTTAAACCAAAGAATGACAGGTCTGTCATTTGCTCCTGGGTAACAGCAGGAGGAGGGCAACAGAATATTGGCAACATTCACCCATTTATATAGTCAGGAAAAGGATGCCGTGAGACACTAGATGACTCTCATCTGTCCTTGGGGTTTGGTGAGATCTCAGATCTTGGTACTGGAATTTGAGAAGATCAACATAACATTATTATAACTACTATTTTCTACTTGCTTTTATTTAATTTTTCCTGATGTATGCATATTATGCTGAAAGCTGAATGACAAATGACTGTTACTGGGGGAAAGATGATGATTTCCTTGCAGGTTTTAATGAAAATGTATAAAACTGAAAAAGAAACCATAGGATTTTCATGGGGTCCTTCAACATTGTGGCTGTAATGGATAAATGACAATGCTCTGGCAAAAAGTCTGCCTGATAATGTCTCTAGTCTGTTTATAAAGCAACACTGCAGTGTTCATTATATTGCAATTCTTGTACTTCCTAAAAACCTGTCTTTGAACCTATTCTGATTGTTGTTTCATTATATTGTAATGTGATGAAGAGAATGGTAAGTATTATAACATTCCACAATTTAAGGTCTCTGGTTACAGTATAACAAAAGTTGTTATTAAGGTAATCCAAGAAGCAGTGCTGACTCCTTGCTGTGTATACATCTGCCTTTAACCAAAACAAATGACAAGGAATGGTACAGAAAATATTTTGTGAGGGACTTCAGTTAAAAATGACTAAAACATATTTGTGTGTCTTTTCATCCTTTGCTTTCTCCTTTTCCCATCACAAAGGGTCTTTGAAAGCCAGGAGACATCTGAAAAAAATCTTTTAAGGTTTTCACAGGGTTACACTTTTGATTCTACCACTAAACCACAAAATCCTAACATCTTTGAGAATCCAAGAGAATTATTAAGCTTGTAGCCATGTTATCCTTGTCATACATGGGAGAGAGGGAAGTAATTCAATTTAATGAAATCTGCAGATTCTGATCAGCAATGTATGGAATGGCATTGAAATACTTTATTTCACAACCAAGCCAATTGGAAGCTCAAGCATTTTAGTCTGCATATTTTTTTTTTTAAATTTAAATAAAACATTTGATTAAAATTAAAGCACATCAGTATAAAGGAAAGTGCTAATAAAGAGAATATGGGGCTTTTCATGCAATCAATACTTGCACATGACTCAGCAGGAAGGATGTGCAAGTAGTGCCAGGGAATGGAAGAAGCTCCCTGTTTGCACACTGTACAAGTCATACAGGTGGGCTGGGCCACATCCACCACTGAAAGGATCTAACAGATTAGAAGTATGTAGCACTTCTCTTTCTCGCTTATTGCCTGCGTTCATTTTAACGTCTGCTAGTCTTGTATGAGTGTGAGTGGGACTGGGATGCACTATCCGAGGTGCTGCCAATGACGAAAACCAAGAAAGCAGTCTGGTCTGTAACCTCATTTGCCTTTGATAATCCCATGACTCTTTGGGTGTGCTTCATCCTCATTATGCCTGCTCTCTCTGCTATCCCGTTCCTGGTTGGGAGGCGGCCACGCAACCGGCGTGCGCGCTCCAGCTTCGGCCTCTTGCTCCAAACATCACCAAGCCTCAGCACCTTCACAACTTTTCCTCGGCCGTCTGACCTTATCTAACCAAACAAAGGCCAAAAAATGAGATTTTGAGAGACCCACCAAATTTGGCAGGTATGAAGCTTCTCTTGAACCAAGAAAAAACAAGTTAAGAGTTGAAAGCAGCAGTGGACCATGACACTACTGGTTGACTTTGCTGTGAGCTCTTTCTACCACCATAGACAACGTGGCAGACTTTGCAACTTCCTAACCAATACCTTAAATTTCTTTTGTCTTATCCATTTCCTCTCTTTTTGTCATTTACTGCATGATTTATAACCAAAACACACTGCCTTCTACCAGCATGCGTGTTTGAACTTGTGACTCTTTTATTGGCAAACAAGCTAATGTTCTTCCATGAGGCATGAGCTAACACTGTTGGGTTAGTCTGCTAACTAGTAGTCTGGTTGTTTGTAGGTCCCTTCCATTATGGTTTTCTCTTTTCTTTTTTTCTTTGCTAAATGCTTTTTGTCAAGCCATCTTCAAATAAAATCACACTAAAAAAGCCCTACAAAAACCACACTAAACAAAATAACAAAAATGAAGCAAAGGTCACAGCAAGGTCATTGCCAAGAAGTTGTCACTTACTGCCTGCTTCCAACTCTGGATTAATTCAAGGAACTCACCAGTCCTTGGTTAATGTGTCCAACCAATTGTGTGCCACACACAAAAGAAGGGGAAAAATGTAATGAGAACATTTTAGAAAATCTGCATGACCTACACCAACACATAGATCTGACTGAAGGGCAGAAGTAGTTTCCCCATACATGCATGGTGCATGATGATTTATATGAGCTGATAACCTTTAAACTACATGCTAGTCAAAATAAACAGCTCTTATACAGTTAAATGCTGTTATGTTACTAACTGTACATAATTATCATAGGGATTGCATCTGTGTATGTATATGCTCACCTGTATGTATACATACATTTATTACATATACTGTAGATTTTTTCTTTTTTTCCCTCTTTAATTTAGTTATTTTAGATTGCCCTACATGTTGAATATCACATAGTCACTATCTTTGTCCTGACGTGTCCTCTCCTTTGTGTTGCAGAACCGCATGCATGAATCACTGAAGCTGTTTGACAGTATCTGTAACAACAAATGGTTCACAGACACATCCATCATCCTCTTTCTAAACAAGAAGGACATTTTTGAGGAGAAAATTAAGAAATCTGCATTGACAATCTGCTTTCCTGAGTACACAGGTAATGAGAAATTTATGGAATTTTTGAAACTCATGGGCACAATATTGCTTGAAAAAGTGTGTGGGGCTTGGGGTAATAGGATACAGTGCCTCCTTTATCCTGGTCCAAGGTATGTCTCAAACTAAGAGAACAGATGTTTCAAGCCTGCAACCCTTAGCTGAAACTCCCTGAGACTTCTGTGAAAGTTTTCTTTGCATGAAGGCAGTAGACAGACCTCCCATTGGCTGACAAAGATACATGGCCACCATTACTAAATCATCAGCATGGGTGCCACTAGCTGACTTTCAGCAGCAAGATCAAGAACTAAATGAGCTTGGCATGGTATAATGTCATCATTGCTGGTAGCTGGGGCAATTTGGCATAAGTTTGAAGAAGCTGGGGTGTTTGTCACAAAGTGACAGAACCTTAATGAGTATTGTGGTTCAGCAGAGAAAATTCAGTAGAGTTTTTACATTTAAGAAAGTCACTATAATTTGGTAGGAAGGCAATATGGAAAATCAAGTGACAGACCATGATCAAGTAAAACCTAATCAGGATAAAGCAAGAAAACACTCCATTTTACCCTCTTCACATACTACCATATTGATTTATTAGCTTCCAAGCACTATGTAGAAAGTTGCTGCTGTTTTAGCCCGGTGGCAACTGTGTTATGTGTCCCCTGTGTCAACCAACAGGGGATATTAGCTGTTGCAACCACCACCCAAAGACTACAAATCCTCTAGGTAAAGCCATAGCAGATCAACTCTTTAGTTCTGCAGTCCCTAATTCAATCTTCAGTAGGACAGCTGTAATAGTGGTCATCAGATTGGAAGTAGAAGTTTGGTAAGGATGTGCTTGCCCCTCAGAGATGAAATGGAAAATAAGTTATCTTGAAAAATCAGACCACAGGTGCCACAACAGAGCAGTGCACAAGAGGCCCCACTTTCCCCTGGGCTGGCTGTCTCATATCTGACTAGCTGGCAATTAAAATGTTTCATCTTACAAAGTTGGTAGGTTCCATCTACTGCTCCATGATGCATCTCCCAGTCTTCCAGAAACCCTCATTTAGAGTCTGAGACAGCTTTAAAATAACTATTTATCATACTGAATTATTTAATCTTACCAGAGATATCTGGATGAATCAAACTGTCGGACATAAAGGCAGTCTGCTTTGGCAATAAATGTAGTTGTGAACTAGGTCTATCAAGAGTGTCATATTTCTGGGCATGCCAACAGATTATTAACCATAGTTTCCTGTACCTGACCACTTGATTCCCACTATAAATGGACGAGTGATCCATCATTTTTTTTTCTGTGCTGAATAGTAAATTAATATTGAACCTTTTGAATTCAAAAGAGATTCTCTAGCTTAGGCTTTTGGAGAAATCTTAGCTATTTACCTGCTAACTGAAAACCTAGAGCAACAAAGGATTTTCTGTACTTAAAGTCCTTGAGGGCTAATTTTAATGAACTTCTGAAGTGTGAATGAATGTGTAGGCCTGTTGTGGAATTAATGAAGTTGCCTAGAAATGTAGGCCAGAAGGAACCTCAAGAGGTCATCTAGTCCATCCCCCCGGTCTGAGGCAAAATCAGATATACCGAAACTATGCTTGACAGATGTATGTTTTACCTGTTCTTAACTGTCCTTAGTGACAGAATTCTCCAGTCTCCCTAGTTAACTTATTCAAGTGTTTAATTATTCTCATAGTTAAAAAGTTTCCTTATTATCTAATCTATATTACTTAGTGCAAATTAAGTCAATAACTACTTCTCCTACTGATGGTAAGCATGGAAAACAGCTGATCAGCATCCTTTTAAATAAATTATATTTGCAAACTTACTATGCCCCTTTTAGTTTTCCCCTTCCTAAACTAAACAAACCCAGTTCTTTTAGCCTTTCCTTATAGCTCACATTTTATAACCCTTCATTTCGGTTGCTCACCTGTAACCCTGTTCTTAAGGGATTCTCATGGTTATTTCTAATTACATGGATATATAGATGGTAGACAGATTACAACAGAATATAATTTATTTTTCTATACAGCCTTTCATACTAAAGGTAACTCAATGCAACTGCATTGATTCAATACCAGAGGCTATATCAGCAGCAGCCAAACAAGCAGGGAAAAACAAAGAAGGGTATGTGCAGACATTACATTTAGATAAACCTAACTAGTCTAGTGCTTGTCTGTCTGGACATTCAAAGAGGTTGCATGAAGCACAAATGGTGGCCCTGATCTAAATTCATTCACCTGAGGACGTTAACTAAGTTAGACTGGGAACAGGTTACCCTGATCTAGTGAACGCCTTTACACATTTGGAAAGCAACCCCAGGGCTGAGAGAGTGCAGCCACTCACCTCAGCTCTGGGGCTGAGGTCTTCCTACCCCCCTGACCCTGAGGGGGCTATGTTTAGTCCCCAGACCTCCACCCCTGCAGACAGACACCTCCCCAGGCTCTTGCTAGCTCCCCTAATTCCACCTGCCCTTCCCCCACCCCAGCTTACTTGTACTGGGTTCCTGGCTTCACTCCCAGTATCAGTGAACATGCACACAGCCACTCCAAATGTATGATCATCATGTGGCTTAAAGTAAATCACATGATCGCAGGTCAATGCAACAAACATCTGCACACATCATAAAGTTTTAAGTCACTTCTGCAGTGCCCTCAGTTCTGAGCCTAGCTGGCAGCCTTATATAATTCAGAGTATCCTACAGACTGCTCTAAATTGTAGAGGTCACAAAGCACTACTCTGGAACTGGGAACTACCAGAATGTAAGGAGAGCCTCAGACTCATGCATTATTTTCCCCTTTTGCTGCACCACTATCAGCAGTCAGGAGTGGAGGGCATCAGAGCCAATACACAGGTTCTGAATGATCTAGGAATTGCCCTAATAAGAAAGAAAGCTTGGAGGGCTGGATCGCCTAACTTCTGGGCTGCTTTGTGTTGCCAAAACAGTGCACAATAGTGCTGTTGCAGGACACAATTAGGATCAGTCACGTGTTCAATGTGCAGGCAAACACAGCAGTCAATGTGCAAAGAGAAATAACTCCTACCCAGGCTTGGTCTTGGAGGCTTTGTTTTTTTTAGAAAGAGAGAAGAATATGAAAAACCATAAGGATAACCATGCAGTTTTAGTCAATAATCTGCCATCTTGTTCTAACTGCCTCTAAACTCAGTGGAAGCCTTTTCATTGACTTTATTGGGAGCAAGTAAAAGAAGGAACCAACATGTAAGAGCCCACCTTCACATGAGACTCTTTCAGTCTCTGGTTCAGCCATTCAGAGTTTAATTTTAAGCACTTTTTTTTTTTAACTTTGGAATTTAACCCTAAGCTTGAAGTTAATTCATGCAGAACCATTTGCGCAACAGGGCCTCCATTGCCAAGATGAGATTTCAGTGGGAGCAAATGCTAGAGAAGGTGAACTAGCACAGGAATCCCAGGAAGCTGGCATTGTGGAAAAGCAACATGATATGGAGAGTTGCACTAGAATTCAAAAGGAATAATTGATAAGCCTATAAATCATACAGAAGGCTTTTAAGATAAAGTTGGTTACACAAAATGCTTTTAATAAAATGAAGTATCAGTATCAAGTGACAATTATTTCTGCTGACTGACATAGAACTGTTACAAGAATACATCCACAAAGGTGCCTTTTTATGCTAAAGCGCCATACATTTCTTTCTCCTTAATTTACCTAGGCTTTTAACTAATGCACAATACTTAGCAAAGCAGTATCAGAATCACAGGAGTGCACTTTACTATGAGTCAGAGTTATTGATCCTCCATTGCTCTCAGTGGGAATCCGATGATTAAATCCTTACGCTGACAAGCAGCGTGCCGACAAATTTTCCCTTCATAAAAAATCCCTTGTAGTCATACTAGCATGACAAACAAATAATATGGGAGTTGAATCCCTGTAATGTGTATTGAGCCCCTAGGGTAGAAACAGGTCCCTATTAAGCATTTTATTTAAGCACACATTTGTCAGCAAGCACAGGCTTAATTTCCACTGACAACAAAAATGGGCATGAACATGTGCTTAAGTGCTCAGTTGAATAAGAGCTTTAGACTCTACTTTAAAAAAAGTCAGCCACATACAGGACTTTCTCTGAAAATATATAATAATGTTTATTTATTTAGAAATAATGTGTAATAATGGCTCAACTTCAACCCACGAGGACCCTGGAATTCTTCACTAGAAAAATCACATGCCACCAGCAGTAAAATGTAGTCACCTCCAGGACTTAACAGATGAAAACACTTTAACAGCAGTGGTACTCAATCTTCTGGACCCAAGGGACAAAGGAGTGGCATGGGGGCCAGTCCACAGGCGAGATCCTACACAGAGTAGATTCCTGGATCTCCTACACAGAGTAGATTCCAGATGTACAGGACTGAGGCAACACACATGCAGAGCCCTGCTATCCAGCCAGTGGGGCTCCCCACAGGTCCAGAAATTTGGCAGCAGGAGAGCAGCAATTAAGACTGTCCCACTCCTCTGCCGCCAAGTTTTTGGACCTGTGAAGAGTTCTGAGGTCCAGGTTACATGGCTGTGTGGGCTGGATCTGGCCCACGGGCCAGATGCTGAGCACCCCTGCTTTACAGAGATTGTCAGTTCCAGACAAATATTAAGAACCTAGGCACATGGCCTGACCAAATGGGATTGTGTGGAAGTGGAATGAATTATCTACCCTGGAATCTGGCCTGGAAAATATAAATAAATAAAAAGGAAAATGGGACATTTACATGCTGCCCCCCTGCTGAACTTTTTAAAACAAAATGTGATCAGTATAAACACATATGTACTAAAAGCCTTTATATACAAAAGACATATGTAAACACTTAGTGATTTTCTTGATATAGCATGAGCTGTACTGTCACCAAAAAGGTGACTGCTGCAGTGACATGGAACAGCCACTAGATTTGAATGAAAACAGGAAATCTGTTTGTGAACAAGTTTCAGATTGCACGTGAAATGTGTTGTGAAAAATCTGTCCCTTTTTTTTTTACATCTGAAATGTCAACAACTATTTTCATGAATATTGGAAAATAAAATGACAAACTATAACACTGGTCAAAAAGAGGGGATGATTTTCTCATAAACATGAGTAAAAATGTTTGTAAAAACAGACCACCATGTCTTTCCACCAAGCTTTGAACACTCTGAAGATGAACAGCCTGTCCCCTTTCCTGTGCAATCACTGTTTTTTGACAACATTGCATAGAATTCCTTCTACTTCCTTCTTCAGAATGAACTTAATGATTAGTGTCCTCATCCTCTACATCACTGACTGCCCATACATTTTACCTCAGTACACTATAATATACAAAAGCGTATCTGGGATCACACAGTGGAATCCCACAGTGGCATCAGCTCCAGTTTTGTACCAGTGTAGCTCCACTTATCTTTACTCAGGGAGTCAGTGGCATAGATTGTTTTGAATATTGCTTAGGAAGCCCAACAGGCCAGTAAAAAGCCAACCATATTTGTCCAAAATGCTAATAAATGTCCATGTCTTCAGTAAAAACTGATTCAAGCCCGGTGTTCAGAATTGTATTAATGTGCTTTCCCCAATCTTTCTGGATTCTCTTTTAGGCCCTAACTCTTTCACAGAGGCTGTGGCTTACATCCAGTCTCAGTATGAAAGCAAGAACAAGTCCCCCAACAAGGAGATCTACACACACATCACCTGTGCCACTGACACCAACAACATCCAGTTCGTCTTCGATGCAGTGACAGATGTTATCATTGCCAACAACCTGCGTGGATGCGGACTCTACTAAACCCTTCTTCTCTGTCTCCTCTCCCTACGTACACCTGGAAACACTCCCATTCAGGTTGATGGGTTTCTCTTACCCTTCCCCCACTCCCAAAAGATAAGATGGAGAAGATGATAAAAAATTACATAAACTCCCCTCCTTTTTCTGTCCCCAAGAACCTCTGAAGAAAGGTCTGCTTTCCCCTAGCCACCCCTTTTTAAAAAAAATTCCTTCTGTTACACCTGTTTTCACCTTGTTCAGTTTCAGGAATGGCAGCCAGTGTTCATGATACCGCAGAGGGAGCTAAAACAATCTCTGCATTTCAGCTGCCAAAAAAGGCTCATTCATGAAAACAAAATCAATTTCTCAGAGCTGTATGACTAGCTTACATCAAAATTAAAATCTGAAATTTAAACACTTCTTTATTTTCCTAAAATTGAGGGATATTTTAATTTCCATTGTTGTTTATGTTTTTCTTAAATTCTCTCTGGATACTCCAGATGAAAGGTAATCACTTCGGAGGCACTTTCTGGCACCAGCTTCTATTCCAAAGTTGAAAGGGTCAATTTAGGAAACAGAGACAATAGTTTGATACTGGATTTTTTTTCTTTTAGATAAACATTTGGATACGTGAAACAGCTGTAATGATGTTTGCTGGTGTCGCTTAAGACAGGCCCAGTAACAGAAGCTACTAAGCATTGTAAAATGTTTATTACCTATAACAGTTTTACCTCAAGTTTTCAAAATTAACGTTAAAATATTTCTCTAGTATTTTCAATAACCCATTCTGATTCTACATATATCTTTATTCTCTTCACTTGATACTGCAGAGCTACTGTACTGTAACTGGGCAACTGCTAGATGTTCATTTAACAACCCTCATGTAACGAGACATTAGCAACAAGCATTGTTCCGAGTGAAGTTCTGAATCGTGTACATTTCCTGGTATGACTAAGTAGAAACAAAATACACATTGGGCCCTGTTCTTTCCTGCATCTAGGTTCTGGTCAACACAGGTCTATCAGGGAACTAGTTATGGCTTCCTGATGCAGTGCCAGCCCAACACCAGCATTAGTTAGATCATGTGGGGCCACAGGTGTAACTTTAAATTTTGGTGCCCAGGGCAGTGTTGGGAGGGAGTGCTTATCTCCTCGTGAAGGCTGCAGCAATGCCAGCATGGGCCACTTCTGCCTTGGCACAAGCTCCCAACACAGGCTGTTGCAGCAGCACAGGCTCCTGGGGCCTGCGTTTCTGGCATCCTCTCTGAATTGACACCCAAAGCTAGTGCCCAAGTTATGCTACTATCTGAGGGGTTTGCTGTAAGCTGTATCACTGCCCTTAGGACTCCAAAGGATCTTAAGCCTGGAAGAATTAGCATGGCACAACTGTGCTCCTTGTTGCCTTCAGCTATGCACACTGTGCCCTCTCTCCTCAGGTAGCCCACCCCTAAGCTTGAGCAGAAGCAGGTAGATGACACAGGAGCCAGCTCTGCCAGATTCACATCAGCAATAAATTTCCCAGTGTAAAGGCAATTTTCATTGGCCATTCCCAAATGGAATCCCCGGGCATGAAGTGTCCAGGGAGCTTTTCACTGTATTCCTGTTTGCATCTTTGTGCACCTCAATACCTTTAAAAATCTGAGCTATAGGAGATTAAATCCTATTGATTGTCAACAAGCATTAAGCTTCTAAAATGCCTCACCAGTTTTCAGGTAGAACTGAGGCTCCTATAGCCTTTAGCCACTTTTTAAAATTTACCATCATCTTCGACAATTACAAAGTTGCTAAAGGGCAGATTTTTAAAACATATTTAGGCATGTAAAGTTGCAAATTGGAGTACATGTATTTTCAAATACACTGAGGACCAGATTCTGTTCTATTTATTAGGTGTGTAAGTGGATTTAGGTGCCTAAATGCTATTTTATTCCTTCCAGCTCAAGTCCCTGGAAAACACGTAATGCAAAAAGTGGGTAGTTCCTCCTTCTACTTGCTTTTTTATGACTCAGTCTTAAGGTATGTTACAAGAGTAGCTGGATTAATGGATCTTCTGGACTTGAATAGGATAGAATGGAATCACACTTAGGTTCCTAAGACCACTTAGAAAGAAAAGAGTCTGGCCTAGTGGTGCTTTTCATCTTTAGGCACCTAATATCTTTAAAAGTCTGCTGGAAATTTCTTAGCTTCTTTAGACCTACCCAAAACATGCAGTTCACCTATGTTAGCACACACCCCTGTCACCATGAAAAAGAGTCCTACATTTTTGTGGAACATTTTTCAGTGTCCTTTAGTTATCAGCCTCATATCTGAAGAACACTTTGCAGCTACTGTTGTTAGTAATGATTCCTAAGAAAATCATCTGCCTTTATTTATATTTATTCGGTCAACAGATGCCTTGCTTTAATTTGACCTTTGGCCTCTGAAGCCAGGAGAACCAACAGCCATACCACCAGAAATTGGGACAGTAGCAAGGGCTGACATCCTACCAGAGAGCTGTAGTCACAGGTAGGGTGAGGGCTAAAAATCAGTGAGGAGTTTGAGACCCTAATTAAGTGCTGAGTTTAGTCTGTTATAGAAAATTATAGCTCACTACGCATCTACTTCAGTAGTGTTCAGACTTGGGATTTTGGTTTAGACTTTTTTTCTCTGCTCTGTCTACGTAGATGCACATGCATATGGAAAAAAATTATAAACATTCCCTTTAAACATATTTTTAATATATATATAAATTACATGAGTTGTTTAAACCAGTGGTGCTCAACCTTCCAGCCCCACATGCCATGAGTGGTGCAAGGAAAGTCTGTGGGATGGATCCTGCATGGAGTCAGGCCCCATGCATCTGACTGGACCTTGCATTGGCCTGGCCCCACACCCTCAAGCTGCACTCGCCCAGCCACCAACAAGGCTCCCCACAGGCTCTGAAATTTGGTGGCTGGGAAACAGCAATTCATACTTCTTTTGGCAGGTCCCCTGCTGCCAAGGTTTTTGGATCCATGGGGAGCCCTGAAAGCTTGATGACATGGCTCTGCAGGCTGGGGATTGAGCACCCTTGGTTTATACCCAAGGCAGCTTTGTTATGGGAGTGGCAACAGGAAGCTAACATGATCAAAGCAATAGAGTGGGACAGGAGAATGTAAGAAAGAGGGACAGAAGTGGAGGGTGACAGGTGTGCAGAGGACAGATTTGGAGAGTGAAGTAAGATGGAGCAGGGGGGCTAGTGAGGATCAGAAGAACAAAGTCTGCAGGTATCAGGGTGAAAAGTAAAACCTGGCAGTGATTCAGTGGCTTGCTGCCACCATCAGGGGCCAGAGTGCTTGAGTGTTTGTCCCTGCAGTGATAGTGTGCAGCTGAAGTGAAGACAGTAGCATGAGAGGAGATACAGAGTTCAGCACGCTCCTACTGCTGCTGACAGACACTTCTGAGGAAGCTTAAAGCTCCACCTTAAAAGACTTTGTGGATGTCCCAAGTGGCACTGATGAGAGGAAATCACATTTCAGGATCCCCTGTATCATGTTGCTTCAGAAGGGAGGACAAGAGGGACCCTGATGATCCCTAGCTCTGTATCACAGATCTGTCATTTTGTATATGGACCCATTGGCTTGATCTGTGATTTTGATCTGTGTGAGCCTGTACCTGATAGCTCTGGACCAGGTCAAGTTCTATGACAGAAAATATACTGGTTTTCATGGCCCAAAAGCTGATGGTTGGCTAAGAAGGATAATACAGGAAACCCTCGGTATTTGCGGGTTCAGCATTCGCAGTTTGAAATATATATGGATGCCTAACCCGCATTTTAAATATAATTTAAGCACTTACCAGAGCTCCCCAGGAGCTCCTGCCGCTGCCGCCATGCTCCTGCCGCCCCCGCCATGCTCCTGCCACCGCCACCAGAGCCATGCCCCCCAGCTGCCGGGGGCACTGCATTCACAAATGCAGTGCCCTATTCGCAAATTTCACCATTCACATGGATCACAGGAACATATCCCCCATGAATGGCGAGGGTCATCTGTATTAGGCTACTCCCTGCACCTCTTCCCCCTCCATTTTGCTAACTAGAGATGCTGAACTGGTTTGTTAAAAAATAAGAGCAAGACCAGACCTCTACTCTTTTAAAAGCTGTATATATTGGGTTCCTCTCCTAGACTCAAGTACACATTACTTTTAAAGACCATTACAATACAGTGTGATTCCATCAACATACTACAGCAGTTAGTGTGCTATAAATGCCATGCTAGAGACCCAGAGCAGGCTTAGGTCCTTGAATGAGTTCTGTATTCAGTTTTCATGAACTCTCATTCCCAGGGTATTCTGGAGTGCCTTTGACACAGATGAGACCCAGATTTTCATTCAGCTTGTGTCCCCAGGCCCAAAAATGATGACTGGCCTAACTGGTCAGCATAGCCAGTTTGGCTTCAGTAGGTGGCAATCAGTGAAAGAAACAAGCATGGTGAAAATGGCTGGTGATAACTGTAAGAGAAAAGATGTAAAGAGCAGAGAACAGAAGACTGAAGTTGGAAAGGAGGAAGAAAAAGGATCTGAATGAGTTGCCAAAGGTAGGGGGGGGAAAGCAGATGAGGAAAAGAGTGATACATGAAGAACTGGAAAGTCTTAGTCCAGGAAATTTAGATTTTCCAAGGGTTTCTGTGATATCTGTGACTAATCTGCACCAATAATTCTGCCAAACAGTGTCCTCAAGATATAAGAAATGAATAGGAAATCACATATTTTTAAAAGCATTACAGTAATTGTCTTTATCAAAATGATCACAGCCCAAACTAGCATATCTCTGTAAGTGAAAATCTAAAGTATTAAATAATATTTATTATTGTGTGTAGTCAACAGTCACTGCCTGGGAGGGCAGGTAACTGCAACAATAACAGCAATGGTTCCATTGTAGTTTTGTCTTTGCTCTTGGCTGGCAAAGAAGAATGAGCCTTCTTTCTCTCCATAGCCATAAAACAAAGTTCAGCCTATGCTTCAAAAATACCTCCCCATGGAACAGCATTCATGAAGAGTCAGGCAGCTTGATTAGTATTCTTCTTCCACCTTTTAGACCTTCTATATCTGTCCTAGTTTCATAGATACTAACTCAATAGTCAGTTTTGTATAATTCTAGCACCCTCTACTGTATTAGATCTAAAACAACAGGATCCCACTCATGGATACAAGATATGCACATATAATTGCTCTTATTTTAACTGGGATTTTTTTAAATCAGTGGAATGTGGTGTCTAATTCTCTGGGCCCCTTTTGAAAATCCCTTGAGCCCTGATACTGCAAAGACCTATTCAGTTGTTTAGTTAGTATTACTACCTTGTGATTGAAATCAGTGGAACTACCCATGAGACATGGTTAAGTCTGTGAAGGACCAGGAACTCAGTGTGTAAACAGACAATGTGGAGACAGGAAGACCACAGGAAAGTTAGACCAGCAACACCAGATGAGCCATTCTTCCTTCTCAGATCTACATCATCAGTTTCATTGAGGTTGTACTAGTAAAATAAAAATTTTGCAGCCTAATGAAAGCTGTGTAGTTAACTTGTTTTACTGCTCAAGGCAACACGCCCTGAAGAACCCTGTAGTCCTTCCTACATTGAAGGGCTTCTGGAAGGTGATAAATAACTTTGCAAAATCAAAGGAAGAAAAGACAGCTAGAACTCTTGTTTTGAGGGGTGTTTTGACAAGGGATGGAGAAAATGATATCACTCCTAAAATGTTGCCATTGTGCAACATCAATTTTGATATCCTGATTTAGGGCCAAAAAACTGAATATTATAATCAACACATAGTTTTAACCATGGAAGTGTACTAATATAGTGTAGGAGATGCACATAATTTGAACAATGACTCTGTGGAGCAACATCTGTTTATCTAATGATCTTTAATGTACAACACTGGTCTCTAATCTCATGTGTAATTATTCAGCCCCAAACAAAATGCCAAACTTACTTAATGTTAAAGACCAAAGACTTTATCTGATTGACAGCAA